CACCCACACCCACACCCCACACTCACCCACACCCACACCCCACACTCACCCACACCCACACCCCACACCCACCCACACATCCTACATCTCACACCCACACCCACCCACAGCCCCATCCATACCCGCACACCCAAACCCACACCCCACACCCACTCCCTGTAAGCAGGCAAGGTTTTCACAGTATGGACACAAGTTGACGTTCCGGGTGATTTTCCACTCGTAGAGTACCCTAGGCGCTACGTGATCACAGAGCTTGATTTTTGAATTTTTTTTCCTTTGCTTTTTAGGGTGGAGTGCGGGTGTGAATGTCGTAAAAAAGAGTTACACCCACACTCCTCTCATACCCACACCCCATACTCACATCAGCATCCCACCCTGTATGATGGGATCGGAGCGCCAGTAGTTATTTTCTTTGAATAATTCTCACAAAAATAGAAAAGAGCTTTGATGGAGCATATTACATTCTAATCATTTGATCAATTGATAAAAGTCGTCCTTAAGACATCCTCAAGATAGAATCTTGTTCTATTGTGACTGATAAAATCGATGAACAGGTTTCAGGTCGCGACAAATTCAGAACTCTTTCTGATATTTAATCCTCTTCGACGGTAACAAAGTTATGTTTGATCAACATGTTGCAGAGGAAAGCATCAGTATGTCATGTCTCCGTAACAAAGGCATTGCGAAACTATTATTCTCTCGCGTGATTGTCACGATCTTGGTCTTGCCGACGTTATCACAAAGTGAGACTCATTTCAGACACAAGATGGTTCTATTGGTCCGAGTGAGTGTTGTTCTCATCAGTGTATTATTTGTGAAAAGTGAAATCTATCTTCACAATACTAATGATGGTCTCGACATTGAATTTTATGATTGTGTTCTTCTTCAATCTTTGTTCTACTGACGTCGTCCAAAACAGCCAATCAATTTGACTCGAGACAATGACACAATGAAATGTGAACAGAATGATGGACTGCTGCATCGTTTCAGTGAAGTTCGATCGAAGAACATCTCCATCACTACTATTCTACATCAATGGAAATCTAGTCTTGAACGAGTCGAACAATATTTACACTATCTGAGGAATTCGTCCGAACCAGATGCATATCTCTGTGAATGTCTTCATCCTTCAACATTTGGAAAGAATTGCGAATATCAACTACCTATAGGCAAATCATTCCCAGAGACACTCGATCGGCAGATGAATATTCGTAATAAGAATCGATGGAAATTGCAAATATATGGAGATGTGGTTTGTTATGAGACATTGAAATGTGATTCAGGTATGCTATGCCTTGATTGGCGAGAGATCTGTGATGGAATTCAACAGTGTATGTCTGGTATAGATGAAGAGAATTGTGATCTATTGGAACTGAATCAGTGTGATGATGATGAATATCGTTGTGAAAATGGAATGTGTGTTCCTGATCAATTCTTTCTTGATGGAGAATTCGATTGTCTCGATTGGTCAGATGAAATGCAGTTCAAGAAGAGTAAAGACTGTTCCAAAGAACGTGTGAGCACAATGTGTGATGATCATGTTTGTCTGCCAAATGAATGGTCATGTGGTGATGGAGAATGTATTCATGATCGATTAGATTTTCAGAAATCTACACGTCCTATAACTTGTCAGAATGAACGTAATCAATACTTCATGTGTGAAACTCATAGGACCGCTATACTATGGACAATGCCCAATGGGCGATGCTATGGTGGCGACAATGAAAAATATGAAAGATCTGCAGTGACGAACGGTAGTGCAGAAGAGCAATGTATGTATCTTCTCAAATGCGCTCTATCACAAGGTAGAGAGGATGGTTGTTCTTGTTATAACGGTGCTGAGTGCGCCAAGGTCCTCGAACAAATCTGTCCGTCGGTAATTCGATACCCTAACAGAGCAATTATCGCTCCATTTCTCTTCCTTTTCTTTAATCGTACGAGGAATTGCCAAAACAAACTGCCAGATTTTGTCTTGATCAATGGAACAGTTCGATGTGGAGATTCATTGATCAGTGTGACAGAAAAGGTCATTCCATTCGAGAAAAATTTGAATCTGCGTCAAATGATTAAAGATCACTTCTGTGGGTCGTCACGAAATATATCTTGGTTAGAGAATGTTCAGTCTGGACAACGATGCCAACATGCAAATGAACAGATCGATCGATGCCCAAAATGGAGTTCATGTATGTCGAAGAGTCGAATCAACGGCGAATGGTTGAATTGTTTAAACAAACCAGATGGAAATGTACAGAAAGGAATGGAGATCGAAACAGTTGTGCTCAAGTTTGGCGTCATCGTTTTCATTGTTCCGTCGAACAACCAACATGTCTCAGCATAACAAAATTGGGAGATTCAAGTGTAGATTGTCGAAATAAATTTGATAAATTGTGGTTTGGGGATGGTCGAGAAATATCCTCAATGAATTGTAACAGTCAAAGGCAAGATGAATGTTCACTTCTTCGTCAATACATTAATCAATCGTGGACAACGATATCGATGAATCACAGTGAAATGCTTTCAAAAAATCGAATTTCTTTTCGTTATTATTGTGATACTTTCTGGGATCTCAAATCGAGTAAAGATGAAAATATCTTCGATTGTCAACAATCGTGGATCTGTCCTGAACATCAGTGGCGTTGTGGAGTTGGACAATGCTTTAAACAACCTTGGAAAGACGATGGTGAATGGGACTGTGCAGATGCTTCAGATGAGTACCTCCGATTGAAGCGTATTACTGAATCAGTACTCAAAGCAGCGTCTCGTCATGATTTTATCAATCGATCTTATTTTGTCCCGAGCACTTGTAATCAAACTCATCCATTTCTGTGTCTTTCCTCGACGGCAACTCAACAAGGATTTTCATGTTTTAATTTCAGTCAAATCGGTGATGGTCAGATTGACTGTGCTGGTGCGATAGATGAACGAATGACACTTCAACATTGTTCTCAATCATCCGTGCTTGGACCAAATTTTCAATGTCCATCGACGAAGACATGCATTGCTTATCATCTTCATTGTCGTCCCGATCATCGATGTCCAAATCGTTCTGATGATGAACTGTAGTGTTCTCGTCAACATCAATCATCGAGCTGTTCCGATTTAAACAGCTTCACTTGCTTCGATGGTCGATGTGTGAAACGAGGTCGATGTAATCATCATCTAGATTGTTCATTTGGTGAGGATGAATACATGTGTGATTATCCCACTTCAACTTGATTGACTTTAATACCTTATCGCGAAGTAAAAGAATTTGTGCAAAGAATGACGAAAAACACAGTTCGACTGTCTTCGTATCCGATAGATGCGAATACCACAACTTTGGTCTCTGACTCGATCTCCGCAAATCATCCTTCAGAAAATCTCTCTTCAACTCATTTATTATTCTCTCCGTATTGGTGTAATCGTGGTCTCGGTATCCTGAGCACGAAGAATCATTCGATTGTTTGTTTCTGTCCTCCACAATATTATGGGGATAAGTGTGAATATCATGCTGACCGTTTATCAGTTGTTCTTCAATTGAATCTCTCTCGATTATTTCATTCATCAGAAAGAGATCCAATGATTGTTCTTAAACTTCTCGTTCTTTTCTTGTTCAACAATAAAACATTGATGAGAGACGAATTTCAGCTGCGATCAGCATCGAAATCAACGCTAATCGACAATCAGAAGATAATCACACACTTTCTCTACTCTCGCTTCTCTTCTTCGCTGGAAGAACGACGAAAGCGATTCTTTAATCGATCGGATCTTCTTCATTTTCATCCTTTTTCGATTCGAATAGAACTCTATGAAACACTTATTAACAAACAACCATCATTGATTGCGGTGTGGTCATATCCCATCTTCTTTGATTATCTTCCTGTCTTTCGTTTTGCAAAAGTTCTTCATTTCAATGAATTTTCTCATCATCAAAATCCTTGTTCGGGTCAACCGTGTTCTCACAATGAACAATGTCAGCCACTGATGAACAACAGGTCTCAATATATTTGTCTTTGCAAAGCAAACTTTACTGGAGAAAACTGCTCAGAGGAAAATCAACATTGTCTCAAGGGTTATTGTTCACAAGGATCTTTATGTCAACCCAACTCTCGAATTTCACTTCGAGGAAATCCACCATTGCCCTTTTGTTTGTGTCCTTTAAATCGATTCGGTGAGCGATGCTCGATTGAACACGATCGATGTCTCTTCAATCCTTGTTTGAACAATGGATCTTGTGTTTCCCTTTCTCAACCTGATCAAGTCATCTGTCTTTGTACTAGAAAATATCGTGGACCCCGTTGTCAATGGAAAAGACCTTCAATTCATTTGATTCTTTCCAACAATCTTCCACATCATGGAGCAGTGATACAATTTCTTCAAATTGATTTGATCTCTCTCGATCTCATCCTCATTGATCAACAAGTCTTCAAATCACTTCCTCCAGTGATTGAGTATTTTCAATATGATAATCAAACGGTTATTTTACCTGATATCGTCTTGGCTAAAATCTACTTATCTCACGAAGAGCTTCCATCACCAGATCTTTACCTTCTCTCTGTCTATCGGAATCTACATCTCTTTTCTCTTCATGGAACAACACGAATCTCTCCAATCAATCAATGTGAACTAGGGGTGTCATTTATCGTTTACTTTATAATAAATATAAATTATGAGAAATTTATATTTATTATAAATATAAATTATTTTGTTGCAAAATTTACATTTACAAATAAATGTAAATTATGTTAATTTACATTTACGAATAAATGTAAATTCTGCAACAAAATAATTTACATTTATAATAAATGTAAATTACTTATCATTTAATTTACGCGTAAATTAAATAAAAGTAAATTTAAATCGACACCCCAAGTAAAAGTACTCAACAATGTTATTCAAACATTTAGAATGCTACCGCCATTGATTTT